CAGCAAGATCTATTTTAATTTCATACTTTTCATTCCTAGTGCATGGACTTCAATTTATTCTTTCTTTAAATATGGTTGGCTAAAGATTTGTCAATGTTATTCAATCTTTCAAAGAACCAACTCCTCAATGTATTGATTCCTTGTATTGTTTTCTTAGTCTCCGTTGCATTAATTTCTGCTCTAATCTTTGTAATTTCCTCCCTTGTATAAGCTTTGGGCGTGATTTGCTCTTCTTTTTCTAGAAGCTTAGATTCAACATTAGGTTATTTGACCTCACTCTGTTTTTCTCATATGAGCAGTCACCACTACAAATTTCCTTTACCATACTGCTTCCACTGTGTCTCATAAGCTCCGGTATGTTATGCTGGCATTATTATTTAATTGTAGAGACTAGGAGCTGAGGATTTATCTCAGTGGCATAAGCACCTGTCTGGCAAGCGTAAGGTCGTGTGTTTGATCCCCATTACCAAAAAAGAAAACAAGGGGGGATAACAATAATTGTAGAAACTGTCTAATTTCCTCTTTGACTTCATCTATGATACATTAGTTGTTCAAGAACATGTGTAATTTCCATGTGTTTATGAAGTTCCTGTGATTTCTCTTGCCACTAATTTCCAATTTCTTTGCACTATGGTCTGATACTATGTGTGGGATAATTTCAATTCTTTTATATTTACTTAAGCTAGTATGTGGTCTGTCTTGGAGAACATCCTGTGAGCAGCTAAGAAGAATATGTATTCTGATGTTGGGTGAAACATTGAGTAGACATCTACTAAGTCCATTTGGTCAAAAGTTTGGTTCAGTTCTGATACTTCGTTCTTGATTTTTTTTGTCTAGTTGATCTGCCTATTTGTCATAGTGCAGTATTGAGGTCCCCCATTATAACTGTATTAGTGTTTATTTGATTTTTCCAACATGTTAATATTTGATTTATATAGTTGGGTATACTGATATTTGGTGCGTATCCTCTGAGTCAAGGGCACATCTGAATGGCACAGAAGGGACCTCATGTGTTGGGGACAATGAGCTGGACAGCTGAGCCTGGAGCATAGGATAGCTACACTTTCTGCGTTAGCCGTGAGGAGAGACAGGGCCAGTGCACAGACCTCTGGGTGGGGGCAGAGAGACTGTAGAGCTCAGAGGCTTCATATCTGGAAATTAAAAGCCAGGAATGCCAACTCCAGTAGCGAGGACACTCAAAACTGTGGTCCCTGCTTACTTCTCCAGGGTTATTTCTCTGTGCACCTCACCTTGCAATCAGTGATCCAGTCCTGTGGAGCTGTTTGCCAGTCCCTAACATGCCATTTTCTTTCGCACTTCCATTTTCTCTCACAGCTTACTCTGCATGGAAAGTTCTTCACCCAACCCTCCCCTCCCCAACACGGTGCTCACTGTCACCGTCCCTCATTTGCCTGGCACATTCCTGACATAACTCAGGACGGGCCAAGGTGAACCTCCTTCCAGCATCCTTTCCTGCTTGCCCATCCCACACATAAGATGGACGCTTCCTATCTTCAGCCATACCGACCACGTCCAGCAGTGACTCTTCACACATTTCCTGCAAACCTGTGTTCTTCTAGGGCCTGGAGGGCATATCATTTGCCAAGTGGTCAGTCACTATGTGCTACAGACCTTTCTCCACTCTCCCTACTTGGGGTCTTTTAGGGTTTGGCTGTGGCCAGACCCCACAGTGAGAAAGGTAGAGGAGAGGCCTGTTAGCAGCCATGACCAGGAATGTTTTGACCACATTTAATTGTGGATTCTTGGTGTGTATTTTGGGTGGATGTCACTTCTGTTTGTCAAGCAAAACACAGGGCATCCAGTTAAATCTGAACTCCACATAAACAATGAGAAATGTGTCAGTGTATTAGTGAGGACCTCTCAATCATTGAGATAGATAGACACATAAATAGATAATCCTTTACAGTACTCATTGTTTCTCTGAAACTCAAATTTAACTGGAAACCCTACATTTCTGCTTGTTAAATCTGGCAACCATACTTCTCACCCAAAGGACGTAAAACACCTGTAATGCTGGTCACTGGCACCCTAAGAAACTTCCTTGGCTGCAACTGTCCTGCTGCCTTGACGGGCTTGCTGCAAGCTGGGCAGGCCGACACCACAGAGTATCTGCGGAGCCGCGATGAGTATGCAGTGCCCACGGCTCCCTGTGCTACCGCTTCCACAGACCTTCCAAGGAGCTGCTTCCACGGCGCGGTGTTCCCTGTCCTACCATGTGTCATGTGAGTCCCTGGGAGCCCAGCCAGAAGAAAATCCTGGAAAACTACAACTGCTGCTGGCGTACTGTCACCATGTCCCTGCCACCCCGAGAGTCTCGCCACTCTTGGGGACAGGGATCAAGCCGATCTCACAGGCAAATTGATAACCAGGAATGTGCCCTTCCTTCCAGGGCTCCTGCTGCACAGGCTGGACGTGCCAGGCGGAGCAATCTGTCCTGCCTTGCTTTGTGTTCTCAGACCTGAGATGCTGTCCAAGGGGATGTGGGGTCATGCAGAGCACTGACAAACAGGATTTCTTCCCTCAGGAGAGATACAAGGTGAGGGAGCACAGTGGTAGAGCCCTTGTCCAGTGCGTAGAAGGTGCTGGGATTGAACCCCCAGTATTGAACAAAGCAAAGGAGGAGGAGAATCTGCTATTGGATACAGTTATACAAGCTGGTCATTTTTCCTGCCACAGCGAGCAGATTTTAGCAGCTACCGTAGACTGATGAGTTCCTAAAATCAAACCTGAGGAAAACTGGGGTGGGAGGTGAGAAAAGGAGAATTTCATATTCTGATACAAAGCCAGCTTCTCTCCAGTTTCAACACCTTGGTGCACTTCTCCCAAGAGAAGACAGGACTTCTGAACACTCACCTTTTACACTGAGGTCACCTACTGTGCCTCCAGTGGGACTAGTTTCCAAAAATAAAGGGGCATTTCCTTAACAAAGCTACAAAAAAATTCATGAAAAGTCCAACAACTGCTGCCTTGGAAATTACAGGCTTTCCTTTCTGCTGAAATGTGGAAGTTCCCTGGCTGCTCCTCACACGCCTTGCCGTCTCCTCTCCATCCTCCAGAGCTGACCCATGCCTCACAGGGCCCCCTCATCAACCCCTGCATTCTTCTCTCTTCCTCATCAAATGATCACACAGGAATACCAGCAGGTATTCCTGCTCTGCCACGCACCCTCAGTTGGAGGAGCCCACTTTGTGCTGATACTTGCCAAACAGGGCTAGGTTAAAGATGGAAACCTGCTCTAAATGCAGGAGGTCAGTGCATGACACAGGGGTGGCAGCATGCCGGAGGAGGTGAAACCAGCAGCCAGTATTCCGCCGCTAGAGGTGGCTAGATCTGGGAAAATGTAGCGTGGAACAGATGCTAAGTGAAATAGTCACCACATTTTCTTGTTATATTTGTTTTGTTTTGTTTTAATTTGATGAGAATTCCAGAAAAGGGAGTTTGGGGGTGGGCTTGATTTGGTCTGATCAGAATACTGAATCCCAGGGATTTCCCTGGATTAAACCTGTCTCCAGAAAGACGGCAATTGTCTTACTGCTACAGCCTCTCAGAAACTCAACCAAAACAGGAAAAGCTTGTTGAATGCCTATTTTGGAACAAGACTTGGGGGACTGGAGAGAGGCAAAGATAAAAAAGACATAAGGCATGTCCTCCAGCTCACAAACTAATGCAAAAACCAGCCATATAACTAGACATACAGGACCTTTGGTGCTTATTATGTAACACAGCCAAAACATGGTCGCTCGAAATGTGGTCTCCAAGGGTCCCCGAGGTCCTCTTAGAAGTTTAAAAGGCTGAAACTACCGTCATAATCATACTAAGGCAGTATTTGACTTTTCCAGAGGCTATACGATGTGTGATAATGTCATTGTCCTGACTGTTAGTGGAAGGTATGCTGGGTTTTAAAAAATCTTGTCTTAATTCCTAATGTATCAATAACAATATCCACAGGAAAAAGTTATGCACACAAGTTCTTGAGATCCATGATAAAAGGGACCAAAACATTTGAGAACCACTAATACTTAATTTAGTTATCTGTACAATTACAGTGTATGTGTTTCTCATAAATGCATTTTATGCAACAATTTACATCTAATTCTATGCAAATTGTTTTACTGAATGCTTTTACTGCTTTCATTACTGTGACCTAGCCGCAAGGTCACTGCTCTATTTATCTGTTTGTATTGTTGGGTTTAAAGGTGTCCTTGAGGTTACACAATGTCGGACTTAATTGAGGCAACAATCAGCAATCACTTCATTTTGTGTTCTCTAACCCTGTGCTTTATCTTGCTCAATATTGTTTTTGCTTTCTTTAAATTTATATTTTCTGTAGTAACCTTTACAATTATTTCTCTTTTAGGGGGATCAGACAGCAAACCTCCCTATTCTGCCCATCTTTGTATCATTTCAGCAATATCATATTCAAGAACAACTCTTTCATTGCTTCCTGTAGTTTCAGTATCAATAGTACAGGGTTTAGAAAATAACCTTTTGCACTTTCTTCCTCTTAAGAATGAAAATAGAGCCTGATGTGTAATGTGTCTTGTTTGCATAAACTCCCTTATTACAAAGTATGCAGATGTATCTTGCAGTGCTAACAGTAGGAAATCTAATTTTCATGTGGATTTTAACTTTATTTTTGTCTTCCATGAACCTTGAGCTCTGTCTAGCTCTCGACTGTTTCAAATCGTCATTGTTTTCTGGACCTGAACTTCACAGCTGTGGACCTTTGTTGACAAATTGTTTCATCTCCTCTGGGTCTTAAATTATTTTCTGTTACTCTGAAGTGAAAATTCACTGTTTCCAGATACTGTATTTAGGGTTATACCTCAATTTATCTTAACTTTGTGTAAATTCCAGCCCTTCTCATCCTACCCCCATCACATCCTTAAATAACTGACCATGTGTAAGACCATGTCTTACTCCCATGTGTAAAAATTTACCTTTGTTCAACTGAAACTTGCAGAGTTAAAGATTTGCTTTGTGATGGGGTAAAGTTCATAATTTGGTAGGCTGGTTTTAAGTTGAAAAACTTCATAACACCACATCCTAATTTCTTTTTCTGAGGATTATTCCTTAAGGAAGTCTTGCTACAGGTACGAGTAGGTGGTTATTCCTGTATTTCCCTGATGACAAACTCCTAATTGCTGTGGGCTTCCTGCTAGTCCTTATACCGTTATTCAGTCTGTCTTCAGCTGGGATGTGGTCTCTGCATGCTAGTTTGGCTTCGAATTATAGGGTAATTTCCCCCCGGCGCCAGGTCTTCTCTTCCTCATATCCTGTCCGTGCTTCGCATTCTGCTATAGGGTTTATATGACCCAGCTTCACAGTTTACTGCCTTTGTGTTCTGGCACCAGTATGTTCTCGGTACTCTCTGTTAAAGTAATAAGTGTACATTCTGTTGCACTTGCCTGGAGTCTTGAATTGGTCTTGCGATTTCCATCATCTGGGTTCTGCTTGGATTGCAACTTCTCTTTGATGTTGTAATATTGTTTCATTGAGCTTGACTGTGGGATTTATAGGGTTTGTTTGCTTTTATTTATTTTTTTTCTTACAAGATACACGAGTTTTTCTCAAGCTTATTTTGCTGCCTTGTGCTGTTATTTTTAATTGCTTCCGACTGGGGGATCTGGCTGGGGGGTTGGATTTGAATTTGGCTCTTGTTGCTATTACTCATATTTCCCCAGAAGCCCACATGCACCACTCTCTGTCCCTCTTTCTGCTTTTGACAAACCACCCACAGAGGCCCTGGATCCCTGGCATAGATGGTGTTAAGAGGAAGATGGGCTAGGGATGCTCAGGAATCCAGGCTTGTACAGTCATAAGCTTGGCCATCTGGAAGTCTCCTCTTGCTCAATGAGATGGAGTAAACATTGTCCATTATGAAATCCACCACACAGGCTGCCAGGGACGAATGGGATCCCACCCAAAGCCAATCGCTGTTCTGACAGGGAAATTGGCTAGCACTGCCTGAGACTACTCCAGCCTTCCCGTCCCTGATGACACAATTCAGAGGCTGCTGCCCGCCTAGGAGGTTGTGGAAAGCTCTGTAGGTTCTCTCTGTGTGTCCTACAGGGCTCCTTGGGCCAAGTCCCTTTCTGATGGCTTTTCTGAAAAAATACCTTCTCACCATTCTGATGGTCTTCTTGGCCTACTACTACTATTCTGCAAATGAGAAGTTCAGACCAGGTAAGTACCAATGTGTCTCGTTTTGGTAAAATAGGTTAGAAAGCACAGGGCTCTACCGTCTTCCTACAGATCAAGATGCGTTCCCAATTCCTAAAGGCATGGAAAGAGATGGAACCGGAAAGTGGAAAGACATCCCTGTGTTCTCCAATCCCAAGCTGTGGGTAGGAGGGACACAGAGAGGGTGATCATGCCCCCCAAAGCTTGCCAAATAGGCCACGCTTTACTTGGCACGCTTATGATAAGTGACTCAGATCTTCTACAGAAATGAAGATATTTTCCCAAATTCACAAGGCAGCCAGAAAATGGGGCTCAACAGAGAGACTGAGGATTGGGAGACAAAACAAGATCCTGGAGTTGATTACTAAGTAGAAGCAAGGGGAAACCCCTGGAATCTCCATGAACACATGTGTTTTGATTCCTTTTTAAATTTTCCTTCGACTGATCAAAATTTGATGAGTACAGAAATGTCTGGAATGCCAGCATTCTAACTGAACCATATCCTTTCTGGCCTTGTCTTATGATCCTGCATGAGGAGGATTTTAAGAATGACAACAGCCAGCCTTGGTGTTGAGCACACAAGCCAAGCCCGCCTCTAGAGCATGTTTATAAATTACTTGAGCTATTCCTCGAGTGACATACACTATTGAGACATTCTGATCTGGGTTCATGATCTTCAAAATTGGGAAGTGAAATGAGACTGCTTGTGTCATGGGAGGGAGAAGGAGGAATGCTGCCAAGCTGAGTGTGCCTCACTTCTTTTCGGGGTTCCCCAGAGATGCTCCAAGGAAAGAAAGTGATTGTCACAGGGGCCAGCAAAGGGATTGGAAGAGAAATAGCTTATCATCTGGCAAAGATGGGAGCCCACGTGGTGGTGACAGCGAGGTCAAAAGAAGCCCTACAGAAGGTAAGGGTGCTTTCCCCACAGATCTGTGTCCCTGCACACACCAGTGGGCTCTTACGTTGCTCAGATACAGACACAGAGGCTGGCACATCTCCTCTCTCTCCCTCTCTGCCTTTTTTTCTTTAAATCTTGCATTCTTATAAACAGGTTCAAACACCCAGACAGCCACAGGAATATAAAAATATGCATTGATGTATTCATCCCTACACACACAATCCTTTTAAGTTGTACATTTCAGATCATTGTCAAAGGACAATGATTTTGAGAGAGCAGTGAACATACATAAACACACACAACCATTTCTCATCTACGCAGGGCCATGAGCAACCTCTCAGTTAAACCCTCATTATTTCAAAGACTGCACCCAAAAGCTGACAGCAAGCCCAACACTTCTGTGCTGTAATGCTGCAGGTGGTGGCCCGCTGCTTAGAACTTGGAGCAGCCTCAGCACACTACATTGCTGGCAGCATGGAAGACATGACCTTTGCAGAAGAGTTTGTTGCAGAAGCAGGAAATCTCATGGGTGAGGCTGCGTCTCCTCTGTCTGTCTCTGGAGTTTACTCTGAGGCTCATCACAGAGGTTCTGAGAGGGGAAGGAAAGGGAAGGTGCCAAACCCTAGATGGTTTCTCTCAACGTAGCCATCTTCTGCAGGAGGACTAGACATGCTTATTCTCAACCACGTCCTCTACAATCGTCTGACTTTTTTTCATGGTGAGATCGACAACGTACGCAAAAGCATGGAGGTCAACTTTCACAGTTTTGTGGTCCTGAGCGTAGCTGCAATGCCGATGCTAATGCAGAGCCAAGGAAGCATTGCTGTCGTCTCCTCGGTGGCTGGTGAGTGGGACAGGGACCAGTGTGGAAGGGAGGAGCACAAACATGCAAGAGATTGTGCAAGGCTCTGTAAAGAACATGCATTTTTGTTGGTTTCTATGCAAAGAACTAACAATACAAAACTGAGTAGAAATGCTCACAGTACTATTAAGGAAAAGCTGGTTAGCAGATATGCATCGACAGGCAGACACATGAAGGGATGCAGGCACGCAAATTCAGTGAGGACCAAGCATGCTGAGGAAAATACACTGGTAAGAACTACTGGGCTATAGAAAGTATTAGTCACAGTAGATGAGCTAAAACAAACAAACAAACAAACAAACAAACAAAACAATTCCCATCAGTAACAGAGAAAGCAGTGATTCACAGTGCCCATGGGAAATCTGGTGGCTTGTGATCTATGCACAGAAGATCAAGGGACATCAAGGGGCTGCTGAGGGTACAGCCTATCCTGGTGTCTCTAATGAAGAGATCTGGTCACAAAGGATAAAAATGACTTTGCATTTTCCATGACCAACAGCCATAGGCTGGTGAAGTTAATTGATGTAAAAGGTGAAATACAGTACACACTAAGTATTTAGCTGGGACGAAATGAAATAAACAATAAAAACAATGATAAAAAACCAAAATGTTAACAGACCTGCCAATACAGGGAATGGTCTTCAAAATCTTAACTCATTACATAAAACTTCAGTTTAAACCAAGTAGCAGGATGCTCGCTCTGGCAGCACATATACTAAGCCAAGTAGGTAGGAGTAGGAAGGAGGAAACACGTACAGAGAAATGGGACTGAGGGAAATCCCCAGCTTCAGATGGTGGCAGCCATCAGAAGTTATTGCCAGCGAAAGGTCAGAGAATCTCTGGGGATTCCTAGGCCCATTTCATCATGGACACAGAAGGGAAGCTCTACACATCCTTGTTGATTAGCTTTTGGAAAAGTAAGTCTGGAAGGGTCCAAAATCAGCCATCAAAATGTAGCTCCTGGCAATGTAAAGATAAATACCCTGAAGACTCTAAACCGTCAAGCACTTTATAAACAGTGGTTCTTCTGAAGTTAGTAACGCCATCGAGACTGTACAGACAAGGCCTACACAGTAACTCGATAAAGGGGCAGTACATCCATGCACCCCGCCAAACCCCGTGATTGATATGCATCCCTGTAGGTCCAGCCCATAGAGACTCCCCACAATCCTCAGCCCCAGGCTCTCTGGGCTGAAAGGAAAGGAGAGCTTCCAGATGCATACTGAGTGAGAGAGTGCTGGGTGCAACCCCGATCCATTGCAGGGCAGTGGCCAAAACTTTCATATCAGTTGTAGTGGAGGTGGTTTTAATGACTTCAGTTGATTAGAGAATATATCTATTCTAAGAAAAGATGTGTATCACCTTCAGTAAAGAATATAACTTTTATCATGTACTCAGAAGAAATAAGAATTACTATAGAAGCCCAGAGGCATGGTGAAACTCTGACAACCAGTTCCGTATATCTTCCCATCTGCAAATGACATTTGGTAGTTTCCACAGATGCTGCTGTGAGGTAGAAATTTACCTACTATTCTTCAGATCAACTGTTTGTGTGTCCAAGAGTTCAAACTTTTTGCTTTGAAGCCTGTCTGTGATCTTGCAAAGTACAGATAAATTGCTTCTTCTCCCCAAATAAAGAATATTCTCTGCTTTATGATACATTCCTTCAGAGTTAGCAAACATGTTCATTAATCCTTCCTAAGTTCACACACAGGATACTGAACATCAAATTAGCCTAAGGTTAGCACAAGAGTATTGGTATGGAGTTTTAATAATTTCTTCCAGGAAATACACTGTTTATGGTATACATTGCATGAAAATCTTATACTTTTAATGTTCTTTGAAAACTCAGCTACTTCTTTAGTATTAGCAGAGACAGTATTGATGCTTCTGGTAACCTCCTTGGAGGATATAGCCATCCAAAATTCAGTCACTTTTTGCCAAATCTCTTTATATGTAACACCTAAGCATCCCCTCTTTCTACCGCATGCTAATTGAGACATAAGTTTAGATACTACAATAACAAAGAGCCAAATTCACAATGTGCTAACATCCAAATGTCTTTTTCTACCATGAAACAGCCTAAGTCAGGCAACTCAGGGCTGACAGGGTAGTTTTGCCAGATGGTACAAAAACTCTTCTGCCTCAGAACTACACCACCAGAAGTGCCAGAATTATCTTTATCTACATTGCTAGCCAGAGGAAATGAAGAAAGATGGATCCCAAAAAGTCCTATTTCTCTTCTGCCACCACTGGTTACAGTTGTGCTGTTTAGTCAAAGTGGACCTGTGTCCAACTAAAAATCAGGAGTTCTTCTTCAATAAAAGGCACTGATATTGCTTAACAACTAATAATTTCTTCCACATAACCAAAAAACAGAAAAAAACTATGCCCTGCAGACTACCCCACATGTACATACACACACAAATGTGCACACACACACACACTCACACACACACACCTTCTCACGTTAAAGATCAAAATATCTTATATCTTATAAGATATAAGATATCTTATATTATAAAATATATATATATATATAAAATATCTTATAAAGAACAAAATATCTTATATCAAGTAGAAGGTTCAGGGGAGGGTAGAGCAGGAGAAAAAAATGGGAAAAAATGCCCAATTGGGATTTTTTAAACAATTTGAAACAGCAAAAACTAATACTGAAATTTGCCTCTTAAAAAAATCAATGGATTGGACAGAGAATGTTTGAAAACATCTGGAAAAAGTATTCCCTTTAGTCATATGGGTTCTCATAGGTTTAATTCTAGATGAAACTGTTTTCTAGTTTTGAACCCCTTGGGCTTTGTGGACCCCGTAACCATGGTGCATCCTCTCAGTTACACGTGTGGCCAGACCCGAGCACGGAACGCTGCCCCCCCAAACCTCTTTGCACCTCCAGGAGGAGCTGCGGCAGTCTCTCCCATCCCTCTTCTCTCCTCTCAAAATCTGTTTAACCCACACCTTTTAGGAAGTCTTTTTCAGGACTCACCAGAGTCATTTAAGTATTTTCGTCTCTGTCTTTACGACACTTAGCTGTAACTTTTAAAAATCCTACTTCTGTTTCTCTTTTCCTTTCATGGGAGGCCCCAATACCACAAATAACAGTGAAACACAAATACTAAACACGCTGGACAAGCATAAGTGTAGGGATAGTAGCTCTTCTGTGTCAAGGAAAATGAAAGGCATATTTTGGAGTGAAACTAAACATAGTAGGATTTCTTAACTCTTCAAAATGAAAATACACTGAAAAGAATAAGGAATCTTGTCCGTAACTTCTAAATGCTGGGCTCTCTCTGCAGAGGCTCCAAAGTGTCTCAGTGAGCTGTGAAGTTTTCTTCAAATAAATCTTTTTAAAGACCAACTTTCAACTCACTCACACTTATAATTAATTTTTTGCATTACTTATTTACAGCACTGTTTTATTCTACTTTTAAAATGTAAATGTACAGTATTTCAGGCACACTGAGTAGACTAACCAGGGGCAAATATCTCATAAGACAATGTTTTACTGGAAAAACTCAAACCAAGAAATGAAGTAATTTCTGTACCTTAATCTATTTGTCAGTTGAGGGCTGCCTGTGTGGTCTAAATCTATTTCAAGAATTCAAAATTACAAGAGTGTGTAGGGAACCAGGTTTCTCAACTACACATATCAACTAACAGAATTTGGAATGTCTGTAAATTATTTTGCATAAAGACAAGAACACAAAGATGTTAATCTCATCGCTGCTTTCAGCTGGGGCACCCACTCCTCCCAGAAGGGAGGGCCAGCTCCTCAGTGCATGGTGTGCCATGGGGTATGGTGGAGGAGGCAGGAGATCCAAAGACTAGGATGTGAAAAGACCTTAGAAATACAGTAGAAAGCAGTAATTTATCCCTCATTGTAATCTCTCTAATTGTTCTAAGAAAATAGGTTTTTACTCTTACTTAATCTCTTCAGAAATGTTTTAAGGAGCACCATTTCCCAGATAAGTATGTGTTACCAGAGTTTCAGGGCAAAAGCTCTGGCCCCAGGGTTCCCAGCAGACAGGTTCAGCCACCCATGCCTAATGCCAGCCCCAGAGCTGAGGAGTGGCAAAGGCAGAAAAGGAGGTTTGAGCAGTACGGTCCCACTGGGAAGGCTCAAGGTCTGTCTCTCAAGAACTGATAGAAAAGATGATGTTTTATAGAAAACGGAACACAGGCAAGGTCTGAGGGTTTGCATAGCCAGCAGGACAGGTGATCCTGGTCAGACTATGACCAAGTGAATCACTACTCCCAGACTGGCTCTGAGTCCACTCTAGTTAGTCCTTGTGGCTTAGGAAGCAGTTCAGTCCCCGTGGGCGACCGCTTCTGCTTCACACAGAGTGGCCCATTCACAGAGGCTCTGTGGGACTCACGGTTGACTGCAGCTTGGGGGAGACTACGGGGCACAGCTGCAGGAGGGTTCCCCAGGATGCTGTAAAAACCAGCAACTGAACATCCCTGCAAGTCGTGGAAAGACTTTCATTGCCCTTATTTTAGTGTCCTCAGTCTTGAAGAGAGTGAGAGGAACAAGGTAAATTGAAGGTTACCAAACCCTGTTTCGCCAGGTTTTAGACAGACACCCATTTCAGTGACCAGCATGTCTAAGTGCAGAGCTGACCGGGGAGCTGACCCAGAGTCTGAAGGTCATAAAGCAGGCATCTAAAATGAAGACAAGAGACACTAAGCTTGATCAAAACAATTGTAAATACAAGGCAAGGAGATGAAAAAAGCTTAACAATTCTCAGTACATCTTTGACTTCCAACTTTCTGCCAAGAACCTTGATCTCAATCTCTCTCTCTCAACTTCAAATTCCCCCAGAAAAGATGGATCTCACTGACCCAGCTGACTGGTAAAAGTAAATCCCTCCATACCATTCAAAATATGCCTGAAGAAGTACAAATACTCAGTCAGGTACAGCCCGATCAGCTACAGTCACACAAAGGATAGTGTCAGTCCAGGAACA